ACACACACACACACACACACACACACACACACGCACACACACACACACAGACATGTCGATGACGTTTTGTGCGTTTCCGATGGCAGAGAGAAGAGGTCGAAAGACAAAGCTTGTGCATCATGTCGATGTCGGTAGCACAGGTGGCGAAGGCTCTCAAAGAGGTGATGAAGTATGCAGGGGAGGGCTTCCACTACAACGGCCGTGGCGAGTTGTCTTTGTTGGAGGAGAGGGTGCCGGGGTACTTTGTTGTTAGCGTGGATATGAGATCCACGATCATGGCCAACGGCAGTGGTTGTGTACACGCACGAACACTCTTGGAACGATTGAGAGAGTCACCTGATGTTCGTGTGGACAGCGACGCGGAAGACAACCCATACAGTCTAAAAGGAGTTGTGCAGTAGATGTGCAGCGAAGGCATGTGAGACGAAGGACTTGTCGACATGACAATGCAGCAGAAAGGGGGGACCTATACACCTGTGGCTTTCATGAAGTTTATGGTGAGTGTGGCGAAGGGATGGGACATTCTTGTTGAAGGGGCGAACGACGAGTTGAAGAGGGGTGCTGCAGAAATACTAGTGCTGTCCAGAATCAAGGACATGATACAAACACTGCCCCAGGACTTTCAAGAGCTTCCCGTGATTGTTGCAGACGGTGTGGAATACGTTCTGCTTGATCAACTATGTGACCTCATGAACAAGACAGAGGACGACAGAAACGTCATTCATGAGGCTTTGCACGAAGTCACAGAGTACGCCGTGCAGGGTCGAGAATCATTGATTTTGTGCCAGCGTCAGCAGGAGAGGAGATCATTAGTGGCAGACCATTGTTGGGGGGCTTGTTGGGTTGTGCTTTGGAGCGGCTTGGTCTTGCAACCTGCGATGTCGAGAGACAGAGAGAAAGGGAAGAGGGTTGGAGGCTGATTGCCAGCGAAACAAGGTTACCGGTCATTGAAGAAACCGGGGAGACATCAACAGCACAAGATACGAGTGGGACGATGGTGGTCGACGTGTCTACCATGCACACATCAACGACAGAGGACTTGGTGTATATAGACATGTGTGAGGGTTTCTTCTTAGGGGAACAACAGTTGGTAGAGCGCAGAGACGATGCAGAGCACAGAGATGATGCAAAGGAGGAGGATGAGGAAGAGTACGAGGGTTCTGACGTGGAGGTGAGCGGCAGCGACGTCAGCAGCGACGAAGAGGACGACGACAATGATGTGTACTACGATCTCAAGACGGCCTGTAGACAAGTAACCAAAGGTTGGGCACATGCAATCCTCAGGTTGGCACGAGTATTTTCCGATCCGCACAACGTGCTGCGTGTGGTGTTCAAGGGGGCGACACCTGATGGCGCAATGCAGTATGCTGCAGTGACCAGCATAATGCAATCCTGCAACAAGGGGAAAAAATGGTCACGTGTCGGCAAGGGATGGTTTGTTCTGGTGAACAGAGAGGCTGTGCTAGCAACATCGCTGACATGGGGACTGAACGTGAGCTACCTCCTGCATGGCGCAGTGGCCACAGCTTGGGGAGAGACTTTGCACCCCGGCTTGTCAACAGGGGATGCAATAGTTAGTGCTCGGCCACGGCACCACACACACACACACCCACACAGCACGATAGACCACGTCAGACATCAGGGATGATGCCACACATGCATAGCACATGGCATTACAGTTGTTGTACAAACAACCTGTGTGGGTGTGTCTACACATAGATTGCTCAACCTGTACATCCCTCACCTTGTACATCCCTCTCCCTCCCCCTCAGTTTGAACAACCCTCGGGTTGACTACTGTGTACCATATTYGTGTTCACYGGTGTTCTCTGTCGGAGTATAGGGCCGGACTAGTCTCTCTCTCTCTCTCTCTCTCTCTCTCTCTCTCTCTCTCTCTTTCTCTCTCTCTCTCTCTCTCTCTAGTTGTAGGTTTAGTTGAACCTGTATCTTCCCCACAGGTTTACGACAGCGTGCAAACACTGCATATTTCTTTCTTTCATGCAGTTCATTATTGTTACGATGTTTGTCATTCCATGTTGCTTTCTGGGGCGCTTAAGACTCATCAGACCGCCCCCTCTGAGGAC